CGATCAATACATGCTAGGGAACGGCTACTCCAAAGTCAAATTTTTCAAATTGTCCTAATTCAAATATTTACTTAAACTCTGTTTTTATATTATGTGCAATACAAGGGGAATGACATTGTTGCTGTGTGTTTCCTGGAACTGACTGTCTGCTACAAGGCCACAGATAAAGTTTGTTTATAGAAAAACAAAATATATAAAAAAAGTTTAGCACTGTTCTATTTGGAGCTTAATACTCCCACACATACCAAGGGGGAGAAAGGACAACTCTCTAGAACCTTTCTTTCCCTAGGGCAGCCGAGGACAGAAATGCTTTAACTCCCTCTAGTGACTGATGCATCATTACTTAGATTAGTCAGTTCTTCAGGCTGAATGATAATACCCCAAGGAGAAACAGGTCCTGCTTTAAGAGTTTCGTACTGTAGGGGCGCCTGGGTGGCTCAGTCGGTTGAGTGACCAACTTCAGCTCAGGTCATGATCTCACGGTCCATGGGATCGGGCCCCACGTCAGGCTCTGTGCTGACAGCTCAGAGCCTGGAGCCTGCTTCAGATTCTGTGCCTCCCTCTCTCTTGACCCTCTCCTGCTCACGTTGCCCCTCTCTCTCTCTCTCAGAAATAAATAAAAATATTTAAAAAAAAAAAAAGAGTTTCATAGTGTAGGAAGAGGGCAAATTTTCAATTCACCTTTAAGTTTTTAAAGGGAATACAATTCAGCTAGGAAATATGAATCTTTGACATCATTACTCAGTTGTTTAAACTTGGATAAATTTGATACAAGCTCCACATAAACGTTCAAGTTCTACAAGTCACATGTTATAATCATCTAATACTGAGATTAAAATTGTCTGGATATACGCAACATGTTGCTAACCATGGTTTTTTTGTTTTTCGTTTTTTTTTCATTTTGGTTATCTACCAATAACTATTTGTGATACCAATAATCAGGCAATGATACTAATAACAGTCCTAGATTTTTAGCTGAAAGGAAAGTGGAAGAAGGAAGCCAGAGTGGAAGCATCCTAATCCCATTACCAAGCTTAGCACAGTGGGAGAGAAGTAGTTAACACAAAGTTAGCTGCTAGGATCCATAACATAAACTCTTGGGTCTAGTCCTAAAGAGAGAGTTCCTTCCAATTTTTATAGTTCAGGCCTCAGGCTCAAAAAACTAAGGGCTTGGCTGAAGTTTGACTTTCTTATAAAATGTTCTTTTCAAGCTTTCTCCCCAGCACAAATCAGCCTTTTTTTTCCCCCGAAGATTCTATTTCCTTTACATCCTTTGAGGATAAAACTATGCTTTGTGGTTTTTAGACCATATTCACTTAGGATATTTAAAAACAGAGTGAATTCTACTGTTTCTTCCAATTCTCTCTTCACAGAGGCTCTCCTTTCCTCTCTCCTTATAGCATCAATGATCACATGGGGTAGTATCCACTATTATTTTTGCACTTCATTTGTTACGCTCCATATGAAAGATGGGCAGCTTTTCAAAAGAGATAGGTCAAACTCCCGATCCACATTCTTGTAAACTTGGGGTAAGAGGTGTTTATGTGTTAGGAAAATTGTCTATTTCCTATAAAAGGGAGGGACAGAAGAATTTTTGAAAGCGTCCATTTTGGAAACCATGTTTAGTGAGTGGCAGGAAGGAGAGGCACAGTGTAGTAGACTCTGAGGAAATTTCTGCCACTTTTAGTCAGACCCACTTCTGTGTGTACCATTTATAGGTAAGTCAACTGGCGTGTATGTAGGAGATAAGAAACAGTAAGAACTATGGAAATAGACTTATCATTTACACACACAGACATGCATACACAAATCACAGAATGCTTACCCTTTGTGTTTTTTTTTTTAAGTTTTAAAAATTTTATTTATTTGGGGGGGGTGCAGAGAGAGAGGGATAGAGAGAATCCCAAGCAGGCTCCATGCTGTCAGCCAAAGCCCAATGTGGGATTTGAACTCATGAACTGTGGAATTAAGACCTGCGGTGAAATCAAGATTTGGATGCTTAACCAACGGAGCCGCCCAGGCACCTCTTTTTTTCTTAATGCTAAACTCACCAAAGTATTTTTTAAATGCCATTGTATGAGCTCTTCTAATGGCATCTACTAATCTCTTCCATCTTTTTTTAAAAAAATTTTTGTTAATGTTTACTTATTTTTGAGAGAGAGACAGAGAGAGAGAGACAGACAGACAGACAGAGCACAAGCTGGGAAGGAACAGAGAGAGGGAGACACAATCTGAAGTAGGCTCAGAGCCCGATGCGGGGCTGGAACCCATGAGCCAGGAGATCATGACCTGAGACGAAGTCAGATGCTTAACAGACTGAGCCACCCAGATGCCCTTCCCATCCTTTTTATTGTCTAGGCAGGTTACATTTGCATAAGTCCAAAAAGGTGAATATGGCTCCTGCTTTTGCTTAGAAAATTGTTTCCAGCCTAGCTTAACAATCTTTATTTTAAGTTCATTCCAAGAGTGAGACAAAAATCTCTCCTCCAAAAGGAAAATAAAAGCCAAATTCCTATGCTTTTGCCTCATTTCATGTTTTATTATTCTATGTCTCCTAATAATACATTCTGTAAATATTGAAATGGGCACATGTTCTGTGGACGGGGAAGTGAGGCTATGCAGTTAATGCAAGTCGCCATCTCCAGACGACGTCCATTTTAGGCCATGTGCAATTTATATATCTTTCCTCCTTTCTTGATATACAAAAATTTTAAAAAACCGTGAAAAAGATTATAGAACCCAACTATATGTATTTTGAGGTCAGTGAGGTTAATGCTCCCAGCAAGGACAGACCTGGTCTGAACTGAAGCCTGGAGATGTGCTTGCTGAGGTCCACAAATGAGAAAATGTAGTGCTGAGGGCAGACCATATTATTGCAAGGTGCTAGACTAAAAAGCTTATGAAAGTCTAGAAGCATTATTGAAGTCTAGAAATGTTTGTGTACAACCAGCAAGCCCACATACACTGTGAAGAAGTCATTGTATGTGTTTTTAATAACAGCAATAAAAAGTTTCTCCAAATCTGCTTAGCTTTTCCTTGTTAAGTCTGAGTTAAAGACAGTCATTATGAGAAAGATGTTTCAAAGAGCACTTATACTTTGGTCAAATGAAAGAAGTATTTGCAACATAGGTTTAATTATGTTTTGAAAAGTATGATAATTTTAGTTTCTGGCAAAATTTGTATTTATTCCTTAGAGGAGATTTGCAACTTTTTGGGATGTACTTTAAAAAAGTTTTTTTTTTTTTAACATTTATTTATTTTTGAGAGACAGAGAAAGAGCATGAGCAGGGGAGGGGCAGAGAGAGAGGGAGATACAGAATCCAAAGCAGGCTCTGTCAGCACAGATCCTGATGTGGGGCTCAAACTCACGGACCATGAGATCATGACCTGAGCTGAAGTTGGACACGTAACTGACTGAGGCACCCAGGCGCCCTTTGGGTGCACTTTTAAGGGAGCAAAAGTCTTCCTGTTGAAGAGTCACGTTAGAGTCTTCAAAATTTGGAATGAGCATTCCATAGGTTCCGCCTATCCTAAAGGTGGTGTTTGTAAACAGAGGACCTACCTCTATAGCACAAGTGAGTTACCTTTTATTGGCACTTTCTCACCATGAATGATAAGGGAATATGCTCTTTGAGGTACATCAGTTTTCCCTTCAGATTTTTTTCTGAAATATTTCAAAACACTCTGATTCCCTAGGCCATACCATCTTCCTCTGACTTGACTCCCTCCTGAAGAATTCAGCAGGAGAACCGTCTCCTGTCTTCCTTGAGGAGTCTGCTATACCTGCCACACAGGCTCCCCCACTCATTTCCTCCAGCTGCCTCTAGGCAGCCCTGGGCCCTGGGCCTTCACTCAGCAGCTGATGTGATGCTCCCGCTGCTGCCTGTCCTTGGCAGATAGTCGGAGCATGGTCTAGCACATTATCTTTGGACGAGGACTCTGGCCTTGACTCTCCTTGCTTGGGAGTTTTCTTCCTCAGGGGCTCCTCAGTGGCACACAAATACAGCTGGCCCTGGAACCTCCCTGGGCTCGTCTCAATTTGCAACAGTTTAGGCTGGTCTGGGAGCCCTCTGTTAGATAAAGATTGGGCTCTTCTTCCCAGTCATCAACTGCTTTGTGTTTAGTACTGTTTGACTCTATTGAAAGATAGGAAGGAGGGAGAGTGGGAAGAAAGGAAGAAGAAAAGAAGGAAAAGAAGAAAGAAAGAAAAGAAGAAAGAAAGATAGACAAAAAGGAAGACAAAAGGAAAGAACGATAAAAAGAAAGACAAAAAGAAAGAAAAAGAAAAGACAGAAAAAAGAACAGAAAGAAAGAAATTTTAAAAGGATAAAAGAGAAGGACTAGAAATGAAAATCCTAAGAGGTATATGTTTCCTTCCTGTAAAAAGTTTGTTCCCTACTTGGTTATAAGTATTCATTGCTAAATCCACTGCAGATTTTATAATAAGATGACTAAATCAGAGCGCATATCTAGATGCCACCTTAAAGACTTTTGGCAACTGTCAATCAATACCAGTCAAGCTAGCCAGGAAGCTCCTCTTCCGGGAGATGTCATTGTAAAGAACACGTTCTCTGCCTAGGGCCAAATCCAGGTTCATGGTCTTAGCAAATGAGAGTAGAAAACATCTATCCATCAATCTCAAATTCAACTGTGACCTGGACTTTAGAAACCAGCTTAGCTTTAACAATTTTTGACAGTCCTTGTGCAATATTTTGCACAAATACACTCAATGGGGAGGAAGTTACAAGTTAGGGAAATTGCAGAAAGGTATCTGTTCTTTAGCTGATCTTAGTATTGGGTCCAAACAAGTGCGTGGACTTCAAGAATACCAGCAGCCATAGTACTGGTCCACTGGCACTCCCAAATTCTCCCAAATTCTCTGGGATGAAGAACATCTCTCCTTCCCCCACACCCCCGCTCAATGCAATTGGGCCTGTAGGGCACAGATATACAAGTAATGGAGGTTGCCACCTAATCAGAGAAGGAGGAATAGGCCTCACCTTGTTCCAGGGGTGGCATTTTCATTAATGATACTTGACATCATGGTAGCTTTGAGCCAGATTTTCTCGCAGATCTTCCTGAGCCTGCAGGCAGCTCAAGTTCTCGGTCTTGTACCTTCTCTCTCTCCGGTCGCCTCCCATCCCAGAGGTGGAGAGAGGACTTGTTGAACTGGACACGTAGCACTGCTTGGTATCTCAGTGATTTAACCCACACTCCTATTCCTCTGAAATTATTGTGAATCTTGATTCTGATATTTTTCCCTGTTTCCATCTGCAAATTTAATAGACACAAATTTATTATTTCCACGTAAGCTATTAGATGAAGCTCTGTGCAGTCTTGTGGCAATTCATGAAAGGCACTGCTCCAGGTTGAGAATCACACATTATAATAAACACTTTTTAGAGATTATTCAATCAATTTTGGTTCCATATAATAAAATAATCAGAAATACCATGTATATGCATTCTCCTGATTTATCCACTGAGTAGCTCTATCCAAATATTATATCAGGTTTATTTATGATAACTAATTCCTGGGGAACTCTTGCTGACTCATTGTGACTCCTTCATCTGAGAAAAACACTAATATCCATGAGTAGTTTTCTGTTTATAAAAGTAATAAGTGGCTCTTTCCAAACAGGTTTTTAAAATAAATGCATTAAAGAGAAAACAAAAGCCACTTAAAATCTCACTACTTAGCACTGCAAACAGTTTGGTTAATTTCTTTTCAGCTTGCTGTCTCCCTGTCTCCACTCTATCTCTTGTTCTCTCCCCTGCACGCATCTTTCAGTCCCCTCCACCATTCACCCTGTTATCTTCTCTTCCCCCCAGCTCAAAGAATTGGACAATAGTCACCTGGTACTTTGAAGGGGAAATGGGTACAACAAAACCAGAAAAAAAGGGTAAGAGAATTTTTACCCTTAATGTGAAAAGCTGCAAGACTAGCTGTAAAATAGAAATGTCTGCCTGCCTACTTGCAGATTGGATTTTTTTTTTTTTTTTTTTGAGAGAGAGAGAAAGCATGCATGTGGCTGGGGAGGGGCAGAGAGAGAGGGAGAGAGAATCTTGAGAAGGCTCCATGCCCAGCATGGGGCCCAACACGAGGCTGGACCTCAGGACAGTGCGATCATGACCTGAGCCAAAATCAAGAGTCAGACACTTAACTGAGCTACCCAGGCATCCCTAAGAGTATTAGTGAACAGGTCAGAGGAAGTCAAGGAAGGCTGAGGTGTAGACTTGGAGATATTACAGTCACCAAAACCCTAGATCAAGAGAACACAGCCTCAGCCTATCATCTGCACTAGGGAGCCACGTGGGTGTCAAGTCAGTGCCCAGGTGGTCTTGTTGATGTCCAGTGGAATCTTCCAGTCAATAGTGACCAGCCAACTGTCTTGACACTGTGCTCTCTTCAATGGCTTCAATAAGATCGGGGGAGCAGATAACTTTCATTAGCATAAGGCCCTGTCTGTATTAAATGACACCCAAGTAAAACCATTGTCCTCTGCCCTCCAACATATATGTCTAATCTGACATATGAACCAGAAGCCCAGTGTAAGAAGACTGTTACAACATCTCCCACTCTGAAGATAGTCTTTCTTCTTTCATCCATCAGAAGAAACTTCCGGGGCACCTGGGTGGCTCAGTTGGTTGAGCGTCCAACTTCGGCTCAGGTCATGATCTCATGGTTTGTGGGTTCAAGCCCCGCATTAGGTTCTGTGCTGAGAGCCAGCTCAGAGCCCGGAGCCTGTTTCAGATTCTGTGTCTCGCTCTCTCTGACCCTCCCCTGCTCACGTTGTTTCTCTCTCTCTCTCTCTCTCTCTCTCTCAGAAATAAATAAAAAAACATTTAAAAAAAAAAAAGAAGAAACTTCCATGCCATTCTCTCCCTGCTTTTTCCTCATTCTTCTTCCCTAGCATTTCTATCCATCAGCTGGTAAAGGTCAGTCTCTTTATCTGCACGTAAGTCATGTCTACCTCTCTGGGTAGTGTTAGGCTGTCCCTCTCTACCCTTGCACAGTACCTATTTCTGGTCTCCATTGTAACACTAATCTCTACAGCAGCACAGTAACTTTATTTTTAAGTTTATTTATTTATTTTGAGAGAGACAGCAAGTGTAAACAGGGGAGGGGCAGAGAGACAGAGAGGGAGGAAGAGAGAGAGAATTCCAAGTAGGCTCTGCACTGTCAGCATGGAGCCTGACACAGGGCTGGATCTCAAGAACTGTGAGATCATGACCTGAGCTGAAACCAAGAGTCAGATGCTTAACTTACTGAGGCATCAGGCGCCCCAGCACTGTAACTTTTCATGATCTAATCTGGGCCTCCCACTAGAATGTGAGCTCTAGGTTAGGGATTCTATTATCTTATTGTCTTCCCCAACTACGCTAAGTGTTTAGCATAGGTTCGGTGTTCAATAAATTATGACTGAATAATTCGTTCATTTTATCTAGAGTCACATTTTTTCCTTGTTGAACACTTGGACACCAGTTTTCCTCTTCCAGTCTCCTGGTGATCTCCATATTCTTCCTGACTCTTCATTATCAAGCACAGGGTGTGCAATTGTAACTACAAGGTTTTTAGTGGCCTGGAATGTCAAACACCTAGGTTTAGAAAGTGGAACTTAGAAGAGCTAAGAGTTCTCTAGGAAGAGAAATGTTCTTTAGGAAATAGTCTTAAATTTTTTTTTAATGTTTATTTATTTTTGAGAGAGAGAGAGAGAGAGAGACAGAGTGCAAGTCAGGGAGGGGCAGAAAGAGAGGGAGACAGAATCTGAAGCAGGCTCCAGGCTCTGAGCTGTCAGTACAGATACCAATGTGGGCTCAAACCCATGAACCATGAGATCATGACCTGAGCCAAAGTTGGATGCTTAACCGAATGATCCGCCCAGGTGTCCCTGAAATAGTCTTTTAAATTTGAACTACGTATTTATCATGAGTCTTTTTATTCAGGGCTTGATTCTTTCTTTTTTATTAATTTTTAAAAAATATTTATTTTTGAGAGAGAGTGTCAGAGCATGAGTAGGGGAGGGGCAGAGGGAGAGGGAGACACAGAATCTGAAGCAGTCTCCAGGCTCTGAGCTGTCAGCACAGAGCCCAACACTGGGCTCAAACTCACAGACTGTGAGATCATGACTGAACCAAAGTTGAATGCTTAACTGACTTGGCCACCCAGGTGCCCCAGAGCTTGATACTTCCTAATAAAATTATTACTCTTTTGAATTTTGGGTTCTTCTTTCCATCTATTCCATCTAAACTTTGGAAGGCCAAGAAACGTCAAGAACATTCCTTGAAAAGTCTTTTGCTATGTAATCATGTCAAAATTTCTTTAGATGTTTTTTGAAATCTGCTTGTCTAATGTTTAGAGTTTGTGTGTGAGCATATTCAGGGTTCCCAATTTTGGGCTTGTTGTAAATGCTAAGAAAAAAAATAGACACTTTCTGATCTTAAATAGACAACCCAACTTTACAACTTAGGGAAGTAGAAAAAGAAGAACAAACTAAACCCAAAGTTAGCAGGAGGAAGGAAATACTTTAAGAGCAGAGATAAGTGAAATAAAGACTAAAAAAACAATGGAGAAAATCAACGAAAACAAGATTGGCTCTTTGAAAAGATTAACAAAATTGAGAACCTTTAGCTAGATGGACTAAGAAAAAAAAAGAGAAAATCCAAATTACTAAAATCAGAGATGAAAGTGGGAACATTACAATTGATTCTGCAGAAATAGAATTATAAGAGAGTACTATGAACAATGTACCTCAAACAATTGGATAACCTAGATGAAATGAACAAATTACTAGAATCACAAAACCTATCAAAATGCAAAATGTGATATAATATAATACATATCAGATATGATGGAATACTATTCAGTCTTAAAAAGGAAGGAAATTCTGCAATATGCTACAATGTGCATGAAACTTTAGGACATTACCCATGTGAGGTAAGCCAGACCCAAGACAGTGCTCTACCAATTTGGGGCTTTGTTCTTCTTTTTCTAATTAATTTGGATATAAGGCTGGATTGTTTATTTGAGATTTTTCTTGTTTCTTGAAGTAGGGCAGGATCCCTATAAACTTCCCTCTTAGAACTGCTTTTGTTGTGTCCAAAACATCTTGGAATGCTGTGTTTCTATTTTCATTTGTCTCAAGGTATTTTTAAAATTTTTTCTTTGATTTCTTCATTGGCCCCATTGGTTATTTAGTAGCATGTTGTTTAGTCTCGATGTGTTTGTTTTTCTCTAGTTTCGTTTTTTTCTTTTTATTGATTTTTAGTTTCATACCATTGTGGTAAAAAAAAAAATGCTTGGTATGATTTCAATCTTCTTACATTTTTTGAGACTCTTTTGTAGCCTAACATGTTTTGGAGAACATTCCAGTTGCGCTTGAAAAGGATGTATGTTCTGCTGTTTTTGGATGGAATGTTCTTTATAGACCTGTTAAGTTCATCTGGTCTAATGTATTGTTCAAAGTCACTGTTTCCTTATTTAATTTTCCATCTGGATGATCTATCCATTGATATAAGTGGGTTGTTAAAGTCCCTACTACTATTGTATTACTGTTAGTTTTTCCTTTTATGCCTGTTAATGATTGCTTTATGGATTTAGGTTTTCCTAATGTTGAGTGCATAGATATTGTTATATCTTCCTGCTGTATTGATCCCTTTATCATTATGCAAGGCCCTTCTTTGTCTCTTGGTAGTGTGTGTTATCTTATTTATTAAAACATTTTAAGTTTATTTATTTATTTTGAGAGAGAGAAAGAGAGAGAGAGAGGGAGAGGCAGAGAGAAAGAGAGAGAGAGAGAAGGAGAGAGAGAATCCCAAGCAGGCTCCTCACTGTCACTATGAGCCTAACACAGGGTTCGAATCTATAAACAGCAAGATCATGACCTGAGCCAAAATCAAGAGTCATGGATTAATCAACTGAGCCATCCAGGCACAACTGCTAGTTTGTTTTGAAGTTTATTTTGTCTGGTATAAGTATTGCTACCCCCACTTTTTACTAGTTTGCTTCTATTGTGTGAAATCTTATTCCATCCTTTCACTTTCAGTCTGTATGTGTCTTTAGGTCTGAAGAGAGTCTCTTGCAGGCAGCATACAGATGGGTCTTGTTTTTTTTATCCATTCAGTCACCTTATATCTTTGATATAGAACATATAATAGGAGAATTTAGTCCATTTAAAGTAATTATTATTATTATTAAAAAATTTTTTAAGGCTTTAAAAAAACAGCATGAGCAGGGGAGGGTCAGAGAGAGAGGGAGACACAGAATCTGAA